ATTTGGACACAAAAAAAAAGTATGAAAACTCCATTAAAAAAATAACAAATGAATAAAAATATTAAATAAGTGAAAAATATTACGAAAATAAAAACAATAACATATAAATAAAAACTTGTCCTACATATTTTCATTTACTTTATCGAACATTACAAAAACAATTATAAAAATTGCTGTGAATGCCTAATTTTATAGGCCACAACAAGCCTTCGCATGATGCCTGTGCGCCCAAGCATTTTTCGATTAATTTACAATTACTTTTAACAAAACTGAGAAAATTGTAATAAAAAAAATAATACATACCAAAACAGTAAAATTAAAATTGAAATATAATATATGTATCGCGCAAATAAATATTAAAAATAAAGCAAGATTTCAAAACAATTTGTAACCAAATTATATAAAACAAACCAAGGAAAAAGCAACCAAAAATTTTTTTCAGGGGACAAAACAAAAAAATTCATAGAAACCAAATACACAAAAAAAAAAAAAATCAGCAAGTACGCAAATGTCTAAGTAATCTCAAAAATACAGTGCAAAATTTCACAATGCCAACGAAAAATCGTGTGAAAATGAAAAACCAACTGGCGACGAGCGTATTCAATAATGTGGTACGAAATCAGTGCAATGTGAAAGGAAAATTGCGAAACAGGCAAGCGGCTAGCCTCGTTACGCGGTGCTTCCAAGTTTTTGCACTTGTTTACTTTTCCAATCTGAACACACACACACACATAAATACATATATGTATATATGTGTATAAGTGTTTATTTTTTGCATGCGAAATTGTCGTAATTTCTGCTTGTTTACTTTTATTTAATAGACATTTCCTTATTTTCATGTACCAAACAATAAAAAAAAAATCAAAGCAAAAGTCAGCGACTGCAAGCGCGCTTGCGACTATGTTTGGTATTTCTTAGAAGAAAATGTATATAGATGTGTATGTATGTATGTAATTATGTATATCTATGCTCGTACACATGTCTTTCGGCGCTTAACCAGCAGCACGTGACTTTGTCTAGCACCAATTAGTAGTTGTAGTAGCATTTTTACCACAATTTTTTATCGAGAAATTCATTGTGGCAGCGCAGCGCTGCAGTAATACCGGAAAAAGCATAAATAACAACAAAGCATGCAACCATGACGGCGCAATTTGAACGCCGCCGCATAAAGTAATAGACAACAAGAAAAACACAACAACAAAAGCAAAAAGAAACGTGCGGTAAACGTGAACGATTGGTGATGACGGCGGCGCATCAGCTGTGAGCCATGAGCGCTGCAACATAAGCGCTCTCCAACTACAAGCTGCTGACAAGCGCACTCACGCCCGCCCCCCTACCTGTGGCCACCTTGACGATGGCAACAAAGGCCAAGCATAAATAGACATATGTACATACATAAGTATATGTATTGTACATTGCAATAGTGCATTATATGTGTGCATGTGTGTGTTGGGCTTACTCTACGCATGTGGAGAGTCTGCCAGCAACACCTGCACACTCACTCTCCATCACTTGAGCGCTCTCTCCGACAGTTTTGTTTATTTCACTACAAGTTTTGTGTGCTTGCTTTGTTGCCGGCTATTAAGTCAAGAGTACCGTTCCCGTTAGCCCATCTTCAACTCTTGCCGCGCACATTGACGATCCGAAGATCACCATTACCCCAACTATCAATAGCTAGCTACCAACAACATTACACTTCTGCAGGCACACATACGGACATGCCATACACTTATATGTATGCGTGTGCGTGTACAGCAGTTTAGCAGCGATAGTAACAGCAGTTACAGCGATAGTGTTCGGTTTTAGTCTTGTTTGGCAAATCAAACGCTACGGTACACAAAGCAACAACAATAGTGTTAAGAGAATGCAAGAATGCCTGTGCAGTGCATTATATACTTACATATCTATACATAACTACATATATGTATGTGGAGCAAAAAAACAGAACTGGGCTTACAGTCAGCTGAGCAAGCAAACACTCACACACACATACATATACTCACACTGATTCATACTATGTGTGCATCGAAAAGCAGGCAATCGGTTGGAACGCTGAAATGGTGCGGTAAAAAATGTGCTTTGTGCAAATAGTTCGTGTTTTTATTATTTACTATTTGCGAAAGGCAAAATCTAATTAATAAATAAAAGAAACATAAAATTCTAACTCTACAAATAATAATATGCGACTGCGAGAGTAAAACAATTGTGTAGTAGCTCTTAATAGCTTTTGAAAGTCAAGCGAATAAATTGAAAAAATATAAAGAAAACTAAACGCTGCAACCATAATCTCAACTTACACATACACATTTATGTATGTGCTATTACATAAAAAATATGCAAGTATTTGTAGCAAGAAGTTGAGCCAGCGAGCAGAAGATTTAATCAACTGCAGACACAAAGAAATTTTGTAAAGTGAAACAAGCACCTCAAACAGACAGTTCAGCAATAAAAATTGGTATTTAAAACAAGAAAAAGTGTTAACTTCTAGGTTTTTCTTAGAATATAAAATAATATAAAAAGTTATTTATCTTGACTTTGATTGTTGAGTTTGTATGGCAGCTATAAGCTAGGGTGAACCGATCTGAACAATTTTTTCGCAGCTTGTAGCGTTAGTTTGGAAAATTATTTTGCCAAATCTCATGCAAATAACTTGTCAAGCAAAAAAGTTTCCCATACAAGAAATTGATTTTGATTGTTCAGTTTGTATGACAGCTATGTGATATAGTAAACCGATATGAGCAATTTCTTCGGAGCTTGTAGTGTTGGCTTGCAGAATAATTCGTGTCAAATCTCATGAAGATATTTTATCAAACAAAAAAGTTTTATATACACAAAAGGGCTTGATTTTGGTCGATCGCTTTGTATGGCAGCTCTGTGATATAATGAACCGATCTGAAGGAATTCCGCGGAGCTAGTAGTGTTACCTTGCACAAAATTTCATGCCATGAAGATATCTTGTCAAATAAAAAAGTTTTCTATATATGTAAGTACTTGCTTTCGATTCTAACAAAAAAATCGCTTCTTAGGAATAAAAAGACGTGTGCAAAATTTTAGATCCATATCTGCAAAACTGAGGTTCTAGTTCATATATATACAGACAAACAAATACACCGGTGGACATGGCTTAATGGACTCGCCCCATCTCGTTGATCAGTTATATACGCAATAACTTTTAGGGACTCCGGTGTATCTTCGTTCGGAGTATAATATATATACATTTTGCAGAGTATAAACATACAAACGTATTTACATAAATACTAATTCTCGCTTTACATAAACTTAAAAAAATATTGACATCAACACTTCAAAACCATAAAATCAAGGCCAACAAACATTCCCAATCCACTATGAATGTTTATTGTAATTTGAGCCGCTAGCTCATTGAATATTCAAGATTGTAATTTACAAATGCCCAACAAGCAACAACGCTGGGTTGAAACCCGTAGCGCCCAATGTAGGAGCCTTTGTTTTTCAATTCTCGTCGAATCCAGTATTTTATAAAATTTTTGCTTTGCGTTGCACATTTATTTTATCCACAGCGTTTTTGTTGTTGCTTGGTTAGCTACCTACCTACTCTTCTTCTTTGCTTGGTTCTTATTGCATTTTTTCTTTATTCACGCAGTGTGCGGAATGGAAATTCACCCGGCAAAACCAGCTAAAAGTGCAAATGCAAAAATGCATAAAAAATATTGCTTGTAGGTGTAAGTGCGGGCATGTACATAATTGTGTGTGGACATGCATGTGAGTGTAGGTGCTAATGTGGGCTACTGACGTCATCAATGAATTGTTGATTAGGTCTTTAAATAAAATCAAAGTAGCACAAAGTGAAATGATTTATTCTATTTTTTGAAAGGGGAAATACAGTTTCAGGAATATGGAAAATCAAATAAACAAATAAGTAAAAAACAAAACAAAAACAAAATAAAATAAAGTATAATAAAATAAAACAAAATTTAATAAAATTAAATTAAACATAAAAAAATTAAAAAACGGAATTKAATCAATTAAATTAAATATAAAAAAATAAAATTAATTATCATAAAATCAATTTCATTCACAAACATGTAAAATAGAAATTGTCAAAAATTAATATATACAAGAAATGAATTAAATAAAATACCAAAACAAGCATTCATAAAAATGCTAAATCAAAATTTAATATATTAAGAAAATATCAGCAGAAAACCAATATTAATTTCGGTCACCTCTAAGTGGAATTCTATTACTCAGGATCTACTTTATCAGTTTCAATCAAATTTTAGCATGTGAAGTTACACATACATTGCTGTCATCGGGGGCGGATCCAGAAACATTTTTTGAGTAGCTAAAGAAGCATTTACTTGAAACATGAAGACTACTATATTAAATATAGTGGTCTTTATACAGTTTAATATGAAATCCTACTAAAATGAAAACACACGTTATAATATAAATGGTAGACATGCGGGAGACATACTTTATTGCAATGTATGTATGTATAATACTGTAGTCAGTTCGGGTATTGAGCAGAAAAATTTCACAAAACAAAACGAAGCGGGTCAAGTTTTAAGAATCATGATGTGTGTGTGCAGCAATGACAGGCCGACCAATCTGTCTTGAAGCATTTTCGTCCTCAGCCACATTTCCATGCGGCGAAGTGTCGAAAAAAAGCGTTTAGAGCTCGCATTCATCACAGGTAGTATGCAGAATAAGCAAAGATATTATGAATTATGGAGTATAAGTATACATCGCAATTCTTCAACGTTTCCAATGCTGTAGTCGGTAACTTCTTGTCTTTTGACTTTTGCTTCTGTCCCAAATGGCACTACCAGTGATCAAGCTTCAATCGTCGCATGACGTTGTCATTATCCAAAAGGGTTTTGAATCTATCTATCAAGCAGTCAATAAAATTTTCCATTTCTCTGGTTTTCAAAGCACACATTTTTGCCGGAAGCAGCTAACGCAGTTGAAATCCATCCAATACTTCTCTAGAAAAGCATCTTCAAAAAGGATCAGAAATGTTCCTTAGCTTTTTGTCTTCGATTTCACAACGTTACAAGCTGCGTATCGATCATATTCAATGACTTTGTTAGATCAATCGATTCTCTCTGAAGAATAACGCTGAGTGAATGAGTTAGAGATGAAATGGCAAAAAAGTCCAATTATAAATTCAAATTAGCATGCGGCTGCGATGAGTATCATTGCTTTATACTTTTTCAGAGTAATAAAATTATTAATAAACCATTTAGCTCTTAGGGGGAAGAGAATGGAAGAGGGGGGATCCCCTAAATCCGCCTCTGCTATCACACAATGTAAAAGTGGGCGAAATTTAATGGCAATCATGCCTATTTCCCATATAAAAAACATTTAAATTCCATCTAATTCTACCAATTTAAAGCTTACTAAAAATATAAATAAAATCAGAATAAAACATTCGACAAATAGTGTCAATGTATATCATCGTAAGAAAAAAAATCGGATCCTTACTTTTCAGGGGACCAGACTATAGTGCATATTCTCAGTTTTGACAAAATATAACAATCAATTTGTGAGGTCTGGTTTGCCCTTGTGCCAAAAATGGGTAAAATCGGGTAGAAGTATTGGCCCCATTAGTCGCCATATACCTAAATTTCTCTTTTGGAAATTCCGATTGGATCTCTATATAATATATTGCATATTCTTGCCCATGGGTAATGAATGCTTTTTATTAAAATATATATGAAAATGCCGTATATCAATAAATAATAAAGTTTTAAATACATACTTGTGTCTGTATACATTTAAAAATTAAATAAAAAATAATGTTGCTAAGATTGACTGAAATATATTTACTATAATAAAAATGCAATCTAACCACTTCTCAAACTCGAACTATTCTCCATTTATTAGTATATCCATTTATATATTTATATATGTAAATAATGCCACTTGCAACATTCACGAGTTTGCTCATTAAAATGCGATCGGATGTAAATTTAAAACCAAAACACTTAAAAACGAAAAAAATAAGTCAATAAAAAAACAACAAAGTGATGATTGATATTCCCGATCTGTTGAACTGTAAGAAACACATCCACATTTATAAAAAGTAAACATTTCAAAAAGTTGGCGGAAAAGCTACACGCCAAATGCAATCTGTGTTTGCCGCACCGGAAATGAATATTGGCAACAAAGTTGAAGAGCAAAATCAATTCACGCCTGTCGAACACGTGAAAACGTCAGAACAGAACTTTTAGTAATTACAGCATTACAGTGAGTTAGCACTAACTTATGAATGGAAAATTACCGACAATAAAGTGCAAAAACTAATAAAAACCAAAAAATACATAAACAAATCATTGTTAACACTTTTTCTTGTTTTGAAGAATTCTACTTATTGTAATTTTATTTTTCGTTTATTTGCAGTTAATTAATGAGATAAGCGCCTATACCAAGCACTTAGTATAAATACAAAACATACAAACAAAGTTATACGAACACCATATTTGCGCGAAGTCCAAAGAGAAAATGTCAACAATAAGGAAAATACAGCGAGAATATCCACTCTGACGCATATAGACGCGTATGTAGGCAGTTACATACAACAACAAATATGTTAATCATAAGACTATGCCACCTAGTGCCGCCAACAACAACAACCTAACCTAACCTAAGTAAGCCCACCAGAAACAAAAGTGCCCAAAACAAAAATCCCGACAACGGAAAAAAATTCCAATCGCCAAACGATTTGCTGCGTCAATAAGAAATGTCAGCAGAATATTGAGTTTCAAAAGAACAGCGCGCTGAACAAAAGTCACAACGACACGAAAATAATAGTATGCGCGGATAAAAGCAAAAGCAGGAAGCAAAACAAGCAGTGTGAAAAAGAGTAACCCACCGATAAAGCAAAGCAGTCAAACAGTGCCAACAAAAAATATAAAAAAAACAAAAACAAAACAAGAAAAAAATACAACAAAACACAGATAAAAAGAGCATTTAAAAGAAAACAAAACAAAAAACAACAACAACAATTAAAAATATCAAAAGTTCAACAGCAGGAACAAAGCAGCAACAGCAACATATCCACCCCCCAATCGAACAAACAACCAAACAATACAATACCAAAAACAAATAGTGTTAAAGAAAGAAAAAATAATAAAGATATATATATATACATATATACAATATTTCAAGACAAACAAGGAAAACGCAACACAGTTCCAGCTTAAAATATGAAGCAAACACGTAAGGTTGCTCCCGATGGCGGTTGGGGCTGGGTGGCCTGCTTCGGCGTCAGCTTAGTTAATGTGAGTAGACACGCTTTTACTTTCGATATTTATCTCTGTATGGCCATATTTATTTAGGTATACATATGTACAAGTGCACATACCTAAGCATACATGCATATACACAGCTCCACTTAGTTAGATGTGGGCGTGACTAAATTCACTCATTTCACTTTTCAAACAATTTTTTATGCATATTTAATATTGCTATTAGAAGGATACTCAAGTGGGTATATATGTATAAATTATTGTTTATGCATTAGGTAAATTCAGGTATACATATGTATATTCATATGTAAGATCTGCCGCGTAGTTAAGGTATAAAAGGACAATAGTTCGCTGAGTGCGTCATTTGGCGAGACAAAAATAGATGTAATATGATTATGATTATTACAAATCGATTTTCGATATTTTTTATGACTCAGCATTAACTAGTGTAAAATTCGCCTGTGTTTCTAGATACCTATTTCACAATTGTGTTGTTGCTATAGTATCAATAACTGAAGGTTGAAAAAATCTAACTATTTCCCGGCGCGATAGAATAAAAATTCTGCAATTTTTTATTCCGAGTAAAATTTTTTTTAATTCGTACTGAAAACTTCCATTTTGTGTAATTGAAAATTTTCTTAACCTCACATTTCATATATTTTTCTTATTTTACGTGGTTGGAAAGCATATAATACTCGAGAGGTTCTTTTTTTGAGAAGCGGGTTTCAAGCAGAAATAACATGCATATAACTTAATGTTCTGACCCAGAAGATAGCTCTCTTATACAACTAAAGGTTTGCCATTATGTTTTTAAAAATTATTTCGGACAATTGGTCGCCGAAAATATTCTCTTTCAGTCATTATCCGCACTACAAAAAATAGTTCAGCGGGGTTTAAATCGCACGATCTTGCAGACCAAACCACTAGCCCATGATGCGATATATAACGTTTTCTTCATAAAATATAGTTTCATTGACTGTATGGTACCTAGCAACGTATTGTTAAAACTAAAGGTCATCAACATTTTCCAATTCAGAAACGAGAAGTATTTAATCATAGCTCTGTAGCATTCGCCATTAACTGTAATATTATGTTCCAACTTCAGTTTTGTAGAAATATGTGCCAATGATTCATTCTATAAGAGCGTCTCAACAATGGATTATCATCTTTCCAATTTCGAAAATTTTGCTTATTAAGGTACCCATGCAACCAAAAGTGAGCTTCATCGTTGTACAATTTGTTTTTGTGAAAATCGGGATAGTTGGCCATCCAAAACTCCATGTTTGCCGGAATTACCGACTCTGCTCTTTGGATTTCCGAGCCAAATTCTTTTTAGCGCTGTGGCCCATTTCTTTGCACAATGGGTATGTAAACTAACAAAATTGCGTCATTTCGGACGTAGAGCAATTCAAGAGTTGTCATTTCATCATTATGCGCCGCCAATATCTCTTCAGAAACGATGATGGTGGCCACCAAGATTGTGGATATCACACTGTTAGACTTTTTCCTGTGGAAATAAGTAATGTTTAAAGTTTATGCGGACTATTCCGCTTCGATTCAGACCTTAGAGCAAAACATCACGCATGTCATTCGCCAGTTACTAGTCGAAATGTTCGAACAGGTCATCGAAAATTCGACTCTGGGACATAGCAGCCATCAGCATTTGAAAGAAAAAATCCCCAAAAAATAAATGTTAAGGAATGGAATGATCAACTAAAAGGACCTCCTTTTTTTTAATATTTTTCTAATATACTTTTCTACTTAATTTTTGAGCTTTTTCGAACCTAAGCACAAAATCGAAAAAATAATTCTGAAAGTTCCTACAAACTCACTCTATCCAAGTGTCCTTACCTTCCTTTATATTATTGATGAAAAGACGAAATATGTAAATTCCTTTACATTCTAACTTTGAGTCATTTATTAAAAAAAAAACACCTTGAATATCCCATTACTAAATATTTTGTAAGGCTTTCAAGTTCAGGTAAACCCCGCATTAAGTATAGCATCAAGAGTGAGTGTATTAGGCGCCAGGTAGCCATTATATCAAAACTGATATTATGCGTGGCAATTGGCAAAATTCAGCAGCGCCATCAATTGTGTGACAAAATTTGTTTCTGTGCATTCTTCTTGTTTCTTTCAATAATTTATCCAAATCTACTTTGTCTACTTTTTGTTTGGAAGCAGCTAAAAACATGTATAATCTCCCAAAAGTCTGCTTAAAACTATTTACTTTTAAAGCTGCATTTGAGAAATAAAAAAATTAATTTGATTATAGCTTCATATATCCGAAGCAGCATCTTTGTAAAGGAAAAAAAAACCTCCTTTGTTACCTGTCCAACAATACACAAATCAAGGCAGGTGTGCAAGCCGCGCAACAAACATCCAGTTTTTCGTTGCATTTTGGCTTTGTTGTTTGATTGTCCCTCAGGCATATCCATAAGAGACACAAAACTCAGTCTATTATTACTTTTTAATGTATTTCGCTTTGCTTCTCCTAACACATCGGTTTGTTTAGTTTTCGTCGCTGATGTGCATCCATCCGTCCAAACAATGGAACAGTCAACCGAACAGCTGAGGCCATCCTGCACCTCTAATTTTGTATGGTTAAGCAAATGCATGAATAAATTCACCTGTGTGTGTGTGTGTGAGCGTCATACAAGCCGTTTGCATTGTATATTTCCAATGGCAATAAAATGAACAAACAAGCAACAAACGTGTGCCATGCGCTCAACACGTGATTACTGAAAAACTCTCAGTTGTTCATTTACTTTTTGTGCACAGTGTTTCGTGATTAATATTTTACGAGACATATGTAAGTGCGTTAGGAGCCGGTAACATTCTACCAACATTTGCATACAAGTGTATTTGTAATTTTATTTCTTTGCTGTTCGTTTTACATTTTTATGGTTTTAAACTTTTGCTGTTGAGTACTTATGGAAATATTCATGAGCTTACATGGGTGCTAACACTTTGTGTAAATTAGCGTATGTAAATGACTACTTCGGTGCTGATTATAAAATTACTAAGTATATTACCGTGTTAACATTTATGAAACTAAGGATTCTTTTTAAAAACAAAATTAACAAAAAATGGAAACAATTGATTTAAAAAATATAATGAAAATATATGAAAAATTGTGGCAGCTATG